ACAAATGAGAGAATAAGCAAAACCAAGGTAAAATTTCCAACCAAAAAGAGGTATCCTTTGAAAATATTCTTACCATTATTCTGCGATATGGTTGGATGCACGAAGCAAAACTTTTTTTGCAACATGTGTATAAGCAACATTATGCTTTAGTTTGAAGCACACAGCATCGTCGACACATTATACCGGTATTTGTGTCGCAAGCACACAAGATTTCGCACCAGTATAGCGAGGAAAGGTATGTCTTGCGAAAATATCGTCTCTTTAAAAGGTGTTTGTAGTCATCAGCACGAAGTGATTTTTTCTGTCCTCAAGTGGTACCACTAGCCTTTTATTGCGATTATTATCGTATCATTGTATTTATTTTCTTAGCACAAAAAACTTTCTAAAATTCTTTACGACATGAATAGAAGGGATTGACTAGTGTTTAGCTACTCTCGTTGCAAGGCGTCTGTAGCAGAAACTGCCAATCTGGTTTGTGACTGACATCATATAAATAAAAACCGTTCAATATGGCACTCCTTTATTATGCGAAAAGATTTCATTTCACTTAAAACTAAATACGATGCTAGGTGGAAAATAAGTACTCCATAATTTTCATAGAACAGTTTTGCTTTAAGTGAATGTTTTGCGAACAATGTACTTTCGATACCCTAGTCAACTCTCCCATAACAAATCCCCGGGGAATCCCTGTTGGGAATCTCCGGAGAGTTAAGAGGAGATTCAGGGACTTCCTATGGACTTCCTAGGGATTCTCTGGGGAGTTGACAAGAATTACCAAGGATTCTTTAAGAAGTTACCAGTTAGTCTCCTGAAAAATTCAAATCCATGGAGATTTTAGAGAGGCTCTCTAAAAATTGGGGAATCCCCAGGGATTTNAAGAAAAAGAAGAATACTAATCTAACAAAAGTTAATATCTTTTAAAAGCGATAATCTATCCAAGTGAAGAGCTTTATTGACTATCTTTATCAATACTACAATATGCCTATCCTCTTTAAAAAATTTTACCATATTATGATCCTTTTCAAAATTTTTATTTGTATTAATTTCATGTGTATTTTATTATTTCAAGTTAAAGTGTACTTTACGTCAAAACTAATAAATGAACTATGATCGAACAAAATCTTTAAAACAAATTAACAAATCAGCAATAATTCTATTAATTGTAAAAACAGTACATAAAATTGATTAAGAACTAATTGAAAAATGTTTATATTTCTATGTTTCAGTCAATTAAAATTGTTTTCGCGTACTAATTAATAATCGAACTCATATCATTAGCTATAAGTCATAAATTCTTTATTCCATTGAAATATGTTGCTGTTATGATAGATTTCGTTAATCACTAATTATGAAAGCATTGCTATGACTTTTATGGAATTCACAGCATGTTTTTTGAAGAAAAATATAGTGAGTGTAAGTTATAAGTCGAGGATTTGTGACTCTCCTTCATAACAATAGAGAGGGGAAGCAAAGAATGAATGGTTACATTTTCACAGCAAACAAGGACATCAGGAGTCAGATTCCTCTCACAAAGTTCTTTAGCAAGAATAGTTAGAATATATGTGTTTGTCATAATCGTCATGTGATTAACATAAAAAGCACGAACTAATCTAGGTATGGCTTTAAGAAGTAATCGATATCAGTGTGTTTCTGAGCTTAGAGAGATAGATAATAGTGCGTCGAGACCTGCTGTAGATATAATCAATATGTACAACAGACTCATTTATCATTTAAACCAATGGTTAGAATAATAATAATAATGTTCAATTAAGAAAAAAGGAATACGAAAATGAAAAGCAACGAGCGAATAGTAATAAGACAAACGGAGAATCGAATACTTGTAAAAACAAAGAAAAAATTCTGTTCAAAATGCAGAAATGATTAAAATAGACCATTTCTCTGACGATCGATTATCCTTAGAAAACAACTAAGTAGTCTGTTAAAGATTTTTCACTTGACGTATTTTGTGTTAGTATAATGAGACTAAACAACAGAAGTGAGTTCCATATTTTAGCTGTAAAGAAGCTGTGCTGACAAGATTTAATATCTCATTTTACAACATATGTTAAAATATAGCTCTTATGACCTTAATTCACTTTTTTTTAATTTTCGATATAGATTGATAGCGTCTATATAGTCAAATTGAAAATGAAACGATCATATTACTACATATGATAAGAACGTTTTTCTTATATATGTATATATCTTATGAATTTCAATCATTTAAAAATCATTTTTCCACATCATGAAACATCATCTAGTATTTTTATATATTTTTGTGAGTTTATTTTTGCTTAATTTAATTGCTTCCAGACAACAAGAAAATTTATTCGATCAATCAAAAAGATTAACTCATGCTATTATACATGGTGAAGTACATGGGAATGGAAGTTTACTAATGAGAGATAAAAATACTCATTTACTTGTTGAGCTTCGTCTTTCACGTGATGATCGACCTCGATCAATTGCTAGAACTAAAATAAAGTTGTATAATAATAATAATATTACAGCACAGTCATTTACTGTACAATTTAAACTCAAATATCGATTATCAAAAATTAGTCCACATAATTCGTATATACTTTCAGCTAAAATTCGAAATGGTCAAAATAAATTAATATATATTGGTGATCTTCATGTACCGGTTACAGAACGAAAAACTGAACAAGCGAAATATTTAATTATTAATGTTATTGAAACTCGTAAGTTAAAAGCTTATATTCAGAAATATATTAATTATTAAATATAGCTTCCTGGCATAGTAATATTGATAAACTGAGTTTATTAGCTTATAAAGTTACACAATTGGGAGGTACTGAAGAGGTAAGTTTTAGTAGTCTAAACTCAAGATATTTCGATATTATTCAAAGGCATTTACAAGTGAATTATATACAAATAAAAAATCAGGTATTTATACATGTGTCGTGTGCAATTCAACTTTATTTAGGTAATAGTTTTCGTTTGTTTAATCTAAATATGTAAAAGTATTCATATGTATGTATAGTTCAAAACACAAATACAATAGTGGTACTGGTTGGCCATCATTTTATCAAGTGGCTATTGAAGGAAATGTTGCAACAAATATTGATCGAAAATATGGAATGACTCGAACAGAAGTTCATTGTGCAAAAGTTTGTATTTTTTTAAAAAATTAATATTAAATTTCATTAATTATATTTTAGTGTAAAGCTCATTTGGGTCATGTATTTGATGATGGTCCTCAACCTACTTATATGCGTTATTGTATAAATGGAGTCGCTTTACAATTTTATTCGGATGAGAATGAAATGAAATAAACGTAAATTATTTTTTTTTTCTTTTACTGGACTTATTTCAATTAGATAGAAATCTTTCTTATATCAAATTTAGTTCATGTTAAAAAAAATAAACTTCAATATTTATCTTTTAGTTTTAACGTATATTGAGTCCGTAGGATCTTAGAAGCAGTAATTTGGTGATGAGATTTGGTGGCCAGCTTTTTCTAATATTAGGTAGAGAACGCCATTGGATTCTTGTTTGCAAGTTTCTGCCATTTTCTTGAGTGTTTCGACCGGAAATGACTCGTATCTCTTGACCTGGGATTTATGAACACAGTAGTTTTTACAAACGTCTTGATTACAGGCACGAGAGCAACATTTCAAATGGCAAGTTGGGTCATTTTGACCGATTCATAGTAGTTAAAATAAAGAATGGTTTCTCTAGAGTTTAACACAATTGGAATGAGTGATTTCGAATCGAAATCAGAATCAATGTTTCCATATTATAAAGATAAAATGAAGATTAACGATACCGATACGATCCTGGAAATGAAAGACCTGATTTCAATCCGAAAATAGTCGTATTTTCAAGTGTTTCATCAAAGATCATCCCTCGAAAGGACTCATGTTCAAAAAATATAATTCAAGATAACTAGGTGTCCAATTTTATACAGATAAAATAGCTGCAAAAAAAAACAAGAAACAATCAAATAAATCCATTCCAGTGTTTTATCTAGTGTGGCGGTGCTCTCGAAAGATCAGCTTGGTTCTTCCAGTTTTTGATTTTCGTGATACATATAGACATGTGCAGTTTCAATTTACTTACTAAAGACGTCGCTAATTCAGTTTAGTTAGTGCATATTGACTACACGAGCACCAGTGTTCATTGAGACAATAGAACACACCGTTACAAAAAAGACATATTTTAATAGAATTTGTTTCTCTATGTTGCAATTAACGCCGACCCCTGTTTAATCAGTGGTGCATTGTTCCATATTTACATTAACAATGAGCACTTTAGTCACATACTATGTATCTGTGCTTCCAAAAATAGGTGTTCGCTCGCTTTTCGGCAGAGAAAATCTGAAGAAAACACTGGCCCATTTTGTATCGTCACAGTGAAATGGTCTCACCCAAAATTAATCACAGCCGTGTCCTAATCATCACTTGGATAAGCTACTTCTATTGCCGACTCGAAACCAAATCTACTGAATTGGTGTCGAATGATAATGGGTTAATACTGATAATTTAAAAGATCAATAAAGATTGCCTATTGTTCCATAGTATAACATTTTTCATTTTTTTTATTACTCAATATTTGAATACAATATTTATGAATTGAAAATGTAATATCAATGATTCCCATTAATCATACCATTATAGGTAGACACGATGAATTTATCGATGAGTATCCATCTTTCTTATGATACTAGCTTTTTATGTACTAACAATATCAATGATTGAAAATTAATGTAATCTCTTCTTGATTTATTTCATTATACATATATATGTATTTCTTTCCCTTTCACTATTATGACATAGAAAAAAAAATCAAGAAACACAAAAAGAAAAAGAAAAATGTAGCAAACAAATACGCACAAGAGAAAGAAAATGCAATGATGATTGAATATTTGATAATTGTTTGAGAGATTTAATCATCATCATCAAAACCAAAATTCGTAAAAAAAAAAGAAACAAAAAGAAAATATCTGACTTTTTCTGTGTATAATATTCTAATTAATATTAAACAGATGTTTCTGAATTTAATTTCAAAACAAATTTATTTTGTTTTGAATCATAAAATTTTTCAATTAAATTAACTCTTGGCATTTGATGAAACGTGCATATTAAAGCAATATGTTCAGCATGTTGCTGTTTAAGTACAAATATTAAATTTGAATAAATTGGTTGGTTTACAGATATTCTTTGACATTTTTCTTCATCATTTGTTAATGTTTGTGTATCACATACAAGTGTCCATGATTGTTCTTGATTATTTGTCATTGATGCTAAGATAGGAAATAATAATGTAGCTAATGGTTGAGATTCTGTTTGAATATAACGTTCAAGAAATGCTCGTGGAGAAAGATCATGTGATAAACATGTTGCTAAATGAGATATGATTGATTCTCGTGTAAAATAAGGTTGTTGTCGTGTTAATCGAAGATATTTTTGAAGAGATCGTGACATAGAAGAAAAGACAGCCTAAAAGAAAATAATAAATTTTTTTTTTCAAAGATAAATATTTACTTGTGCTGCTTCTCGAGCATCCATTGGTATATGTGAACCATATTTTTCATCAAGGCATTTTCGAACATGTGTAAATGCATCTTCACATGAAATTATTAATTTTATACGTCGTTTTCGTACACGACGTTCATAATCGAGTTCATCATAGAATCTATAATAGATTTTAATTATAATCAACAGAAAACAAAAAAAAAACTAGAAATTTCTAATCTGATATTAAAGATTTCTTTAGTTTCTTTTACTAAATTTTGACGGAAATTATCATAATTGTAGAGGGCTGTCTGCTTCTTCTTACTAAAAAACGTCCCTTTCCTCAAGTATGACTTGATATCGTGACAGCTTCAGTCTAGATCGATTGTTGTTCTTAAGATATTAAAGATCCAAAAAAAAAACACAATATGGCACAAGAAAAAGTAATAAACTTCAGTGTTTTCATGATCCACAAGACATACCCACTATAGAAAGTAACGAAAGTTGAGTTTATTAATAAATTAGTACTTTATGCAAAAAACATACTCTTTACGAGCAAACATTAAACTTTTAATTAATCAGAATAGGTATAAAATTGAATTCTTTCAACATTTTTTTTTTTCTAAACCTCAATAGGATATAATTAATGAACGCAAAGCCTTCTATTAAAAGAAATATATCATGTCAACACATTCCCTTGAACTAGCTCATTGATATTCATTAAAACTATTTTTGAAAGCTTCATCCATATATTTTATAATTAACTCAAATTTTTCGTTCGTTTCTCGCTCATTAACCTATATTCTAATGATCTTTTTTTCTCTTCATATTCTTGATGATAAATGATATGAAATATAATGTTCATTTACTATTCTCAAGTTCGTTAGAATTATCTAAAACACTTGATTGATTTTATATAATCAAAAATCTATTCGAAATCATTTAAACATAATTCTATTTACAAATATCTCGAACTCAATTAAAACAACAAATCAGATATAAGTAATTGATTTACCTATCATTAAATCCACGCATTGATCGTGCAGCATTTCCATTTGTACCTGTAGCAATAGTTGAGGAATTCGATTGTGATCCAACAGATTTTGTTGAAAATGTTCGATGACGTTTAGCTTGTGTTTGATGAGCATTTTCTAACCATGGATTAAATACAGGAAAATCTTTATAATATTGTTCTAATAAATAAACACTCGCTTCTTGTATTGACATTGATCCTAATAACAAAAATCTAATATATATCAAGCATAAAAAAAAATGTATTCATCTTACCAATTGTATATTCTCTTATTTGTCCATCAGGTGATCGTACAACTTTAACAATCCATTTTGGATATAACCATCTAACTTCTAAGATAAGCACAGATAATATTAATATAAATAAAAGTAAATCTTCATATGTTGATGTCATTGATAAAATTTGTTCATATTTATCTATTTTTGATTTTAATATTTTATATATATAATAAAACCAATAGACAATAATAACAATTAATAGAATAAGAATTAAACATGTTTTTTGTATATGAATACATGGTAAATATGTTCGATTACGACGTCGATAAAGTAATAGAAATGTACCAAAAAATAAAAAAATAAGTTTAAAAATAATTGTTAATATTGGTGAATAATCATCAATAGATAATATTATATCCGATGTTAATAATATATATGGTAATATAAGAAAGAATATAGGTGAAATGAAAGCAATTAAACAAAGTAAATAAATAAAAAATTGTGTTATTGTTATAGATAATGTTCGTCGATGAAAGTTATTTGATACATGTTGTAAATGATGATTATGATGATTATCATTTAGTTGTAATGTCGTATCATTATTATTTGTTAATGTATCTTCATTAACTCCGTTACATGTTATTGTTGTTGTTTCACCCCAATTATCATCTTGTGGAAGAATTTTTACTTCAATACGTTCATCTTGACTATCAGTTGAAACAACAGGTACCGATGATGATGATGGGACGTCATCATGACGTTTTTTATGATGATAACGACGATTTGATGAACATGTTTCATTATTAACTGTATGTAATGATGATGGAAGTGCACAATTCACTGATCCACTGTATGTTTCCGGATCCATAATCTATAAAAAAGTAATAATAATAATTACACAATATTGAACTAACAAAAAAAAAAAACAAAACACACTTGTTATAAGATATTATTACTAACCAGAAATCATACAAAATGAAGATATGAAATAACAATAGATTAGTACTTACTAATCACCGTCTGTTCAATCATAAAGATGTTAAATACAAAACGCACTATTGCATGATCAATTTATATCATAACAAGAATATTTTGAAAGAACAATAGTACCAGTCAAAAAACAATAAATTAGTACATATGATCGAAAGAGTACACTTTTTTTTTTTTTCCTCAAAAACTATCAAGGAATAATTAGTTACATTAGTAAATCAATTCAATCAAAAAAATACACAATTGAAAAGTAGCATCGTGACATCAAATACGATTTCAAGTGTACTCAATTCTACTATCATTAATAGATGTCAAGTAATTTGCTTTTTAAAAAGAATAAATAAATAAATAAAAGATTCTAAATAGCATCACTCACCTCAACTTCTGATGCACTATAATGTTTCTCTACGGCATTACCACTTTTGTTTAAGAGCAGCTCATATGTCTTTGCTTTTGCTGTTTTTGTTGTCGTCATAGCTGTCCGATGGCGGTTCATTATTGTCGACAAATACCTAACAACTGTTTGACTACTTCTTTTTTCTTTACGCCGCCTATATCAACCCATGAAATTAACCATCGCATCTTTCTTTTTTTTTTCTTTCTTTTTCTCTTCTGTTCATTGTCTCGTAGCGTCGTTATTTTTCACGCTGTCTCGCTATCTATCTCGAGTCGTTGCTTCAGGCAATTAAGAATATGTAGGGTATTCTAGTCAATATCGAAGAAACTACTAGATCAAAGTTCAACTAATATCATATATCTATACATCTCTAAACAATAATCTATGCTAATCATTCAAAACAATATATCTATTCGAGAATATAACGAAAGCAAACAAAAAAAAGACCTAAATTCAAGGCTTTCTTCTCAATTAAACAAACACAAGACAAAAAAATGATCGATGAACTAAACATTAAAAAAAAGCGACATATATATTTATATATATATATATATATTCATATGCATATATATATATATATATATATATGGACGAATTGAACAGATCTGTCATATCGTTCAATGAGATTGTCACAAAAATAAAAGTGAGTATGTTATCTTATTAGAACTATCGTCTATGAACATTCATAATGTTTTAACACGAACTTCTGTTATTTGTTGATCAAAATTTTCTATAATGAGGATTCAATTTGTTAAAATCACTGAACATATATACTCCTAATTGTGCTTGTCTACTTCTCTTGTCACGCATAACAATGTTGATTAATGAGAATTTTACATTTTCTTACGTACAGTAAAAAGATGTTTGCTGTTGTCGATAGGCGTATGATAATGTTCTTCCATATGAAATAGTTTGAACAATATATATATAGTTAAACACAATAATACTATGTTATTTGATCAAAGATTTAGTAGATGGTTGTTCATAGAAGCAATGAAAAATGAGAAGAGAAACGAAGAATAATTGTAATAAAGTTGAACAGACGATGAAGAAACGTATCACATATACACTTAAAAGATTTTATGATTGACCAACTGACCCCGAAAGAAATTGACAAGAAAAAGTAAAATGTTCGGCTCAGAAAGAAGTTCAGACGAAACTTTCATAAGAAAACATTCTTATAATATACATCAATTTATTAACATGAAGTTTCTACTTTCGAAGCTAATTAATACATCTGTTTGTATGAAAAGAAAATGAAGAAAAAGAGCTTTGTACAAATAGAAACGAATAATCTCGGCAAGTGAACTGTCAGACATTGAGAATAAATGAAGTACAGATGGAACATTAAAGAAAAACAAGCACGACTAAATGAACATTTACTTACATGTTTGAAAAGAATTGTTTGCTAGGTGATATTCGATTGATCACCGTTATACAAAAAACAAAGAATCAATTTCTATTGGCTATTATTCACACAGAGACATAAGTGTATATATATATATACATACAATTCAATTATCAAAAGAATATACTGTCAATATATAAATGCCGATTGAGCATGCCATCTACAAAAAAAATTCTTTTTGAACAATAGATTTTGAGTTCAAATGATTATAATTGAAGTTGTACTAGATTTTATTTTCAATACTGATATATTGTAAATTTAGTAGTGTCCAAAGTGGATAATCTTTCAATATTAAAAAGTTTTCACTTTTCTCCAACATTCTATTGTTGTCTTTTTTTTTGTTTAACAATTTCCAAAAGAAAATTCGGTCAACCTTATTAAAAAATCTTCCAATTGAATTTTTGAGTTGTTAAACTTCTCCCAATCTTGATGACCTCGGGACACTCCTGTCTAAATATGACATCATTCATTCATTTCGTGATATCAATTCACCCACTATCACTCATATAACTTCAACTGTACTGTTTTTACATGAATTAGTTGCTCGTGGATATTGACTAGACACGATACAGGAAAAAGAAGTGAATTGTTTGTTATTAATCGAGATCGATTTTTATTCATGACGAATTTTATTTATATAATTTCTGTAGGATATATTGAAAAGAAATCGATTTAACAGCATTTTTTTTCCTAGATCCATTTTCATGTAATTCTTTGTTGTTTGATATTTATCAATAGTACAATTCATTTGTTTGATTTATTCTCATAACTTTAATATGATGGTGTTTATGACTATCTATTATTTGAAAGTATATCCTTTTATAGAAAAAAGTGAAAAAAATTGTTTTCAATTTAATTTTATTTAGTTACATAAACTGATTATTCTGATGTTTCTCATATTGATATATACTACTACGATCATAATCTATTGGTAAAGTAGTTTTTAAAAATTTCTTGATTACAGATGTGAAAGCAGCATTTTTTATGGCATCTTGGACAATTTATGATTTATTTGTAATGGTTATGATAAAAAATGATTTTTCCATAATTATTTTTATTATCGATTCAAATTCATAAAAACCATGATTTTCATGCTTCAAAATCTTATTAGAACTAATACCCAGTCAACAAGCATTTTACAGTCAGTTTTTAAATAATTTCTCATCAATAAGAGAGAGAAATTTGTAGATTTCGTTATGGTTTTCTATCTCAGCACGACTTTAATAATATGAATAAGTAATTTCAAATTCTATTCAGAACCAATGATTCTATGTTATTAAAAGAAAATGAAGGCTAATGATACTGACACTATCTTGAAAATGAAAGGCCTGATATCAATTCGAAAATAGCTGCCTTTACAAGTGTCTCACCATCTTCAATAACGACTCATATAAAAAAAAATTCATGATTAGTAGATGTCCAACTTTATTACAGATAAGTTTACGACGAAAAACAAATCAAATTAATAATAAATACAATTTTGATGTCATTCAAGATGAATTGATCAGTTTATAGTTCATTCTATATCGCCACAGTGAAATAACTTCGTACAAATTTAATCATATCAATGTTATACCGACTCCATGCATAAGCTATTCCTACGGTTGACTTAATATTAACTCAACTGAAGGTATTATCCAAGGATAAAGAATTCAATTCCTAATGTTTTCAAACGCATTCATATAAAGATTGAATGTTTATGTAATAATACTTTTCTTCGTCAACTTAATATTTCACAAAATTTCAAATAATGCTTCAATATGTTTATGATTGATCAGACCAAGTGTAAATTCAATGATTAAGTTTGATGAAAAAAAAATATAGCATCATCTAGAAACAGATGATACGAGTTTATATCTGTGTTGTTTTGTCAATGATTAGCGAATTGCGCTATGCACAGATAATTATCGAAATCACTCGTATTTTTTTACCAGTCGTTCTTTTCTTTGATTACTATTTTTTTTATATATCAAGCGTGACTTACAACCTTCATTTCTTTTCCACTGACTGGTAAATGATCCGCGATGAATATTACTCGAAATAAGTTATTACTTTTAACAGTCTGTATATGAGACATAATAAAATGTTGATAACTTGTTTTTACCTGTCAGAGTCTTATTCGGTATCGATTCAATCGCGTGCATTCAAGCGTGGTCGAATACATTGTGGAAGGAAAAAAAAGAGAAACAAAGCGAAAAGGTATTTCGATTGAGGACAATGTTTGTCCTGAAGTAACAGGTATTTTGTTCTAATATTTCTTGTTTGCTATTTTTCATTAAAAGAATAACAACGATATCACGAAGGACGATCATCACACGTCATTGTATTACTAAAGATAAACTACATAATTAATTACACTCAACATGGGTCTTGAATCATCTAAACCATCAAAGCCTGTTTCATATGGTGTGTTAATCTTTTTCTTCTATTATGTGACCAATAAACTATTTATCTGTGTTCTTTTATTCGTTTTCTAGGACCCATATTTACTGTTCGTGGCCGTCTGTATCGTACTTTAGATGTCATTGGCCAAGGTGCTCAAGCCATTGTATATCGATGTGAAGATCAAAATGCTGTTCAATTTGCTGTTAAAGTTTTTCATTTTTCACGTTTACGTCGCTCTCAAAGATCTTATCGCATTCGAAGTTTTGACAAAGAAGCACGCATTTTAAAACATCTGGGTGGACGTTCGCGTCATTTTATACATTTGTTTGATTACGAATATAAGCGTAAAGAAAAGATCGGTTATATGGTCATGGAATTAGGAGATGGAGATTTAAGACAATACCTCGTAGGAGCGCCATTAACAGATATACTTCGACGACTCTTTTGGAAACAGATTGTTGCTATCTTGAGAGCTCTTAAAGATGCGAATGTTGGTAATTGAATAGAGATATATATTTTGGCATTCATGAATATTTTTGTATTTTTATTTCGAAGTACATGGTGATATCAAACCCGAAAATTTAATTCTAGTAAATAATGTGCTCAAATTAACCGATCTAGGTCTTGCCTTTCGGATTAATCCACCCGCACAAGCGGTTCAACGAAGAAAAATTCTTGGTACTATTGGTACGTATTTACATTAATCATGCTTTCAATATTATTATACACGTTATATGATCACATTCATTTTTAGATTATATGGCGCCTGAATTATTTTCTCATAGAATCGGTTTTAAATCTGAGGTATGGTCAGCAGGCATTATTCTGTATGAAATGACTTATGGTCGTCCTCCCTTCTTTGGTATCATGAGTCGAAATAAAAAAATGGCTCTTATTGCATCAAGGACACCTATATCGTTGCCTCCAATAAGAAACCATTATTTAGTCGGGTGTATTGAAGAATGTCTACAATATGATGACCAATTTAGACCGAGCGCATCTCGATTAGCAGCACACCCTTATACAAGGATGTAATTCACAGCAAGGAGAGAGAAACGAAAATTCCACCCTCCAACGTACTTCAAGGGTATATCAAAGTTATTGTCGAGACCTTCTTAGGTATTTAAAGTCTACTATCACTGTCACTGATACTCAAATCTTGAATACGATGAAGTATTTGAGATTTATTAATAGACAAATTTATATAAAATGAGCTTAAACTGATATGCTGGTGATATACGTTGATATCAGGCTTGAAATAGCTAAGAAGTTCTAGATGATAGCTTTGGTATACTCTTGAAGTACAGAATTTGCACTTTTTCTCCATTGAACCAAAGATTATAGTTTTTGCTGTTTTTTTGAAGTCTCGTTTTTCTAATCGATTTTGATCTTCTTCAAACGAAGAAAACCACACTAAGAATATGGGAAATTGAATTTATTTCTATTGTTGTGCTAGTTTTATGTGATGGATGTTAATTTCATTTTTTTTTTACAGATGTCACTAATGATCAGTACTTCAGCTATCTATTTTTTGTACGAACATACCGTTCATTATTATAGTTCTTCATCAAATAAACTTTTTTCCCACTAAATTTTTAATTTTATATGAAATTTAAAACAAGTCGTAATTTGTTCTTGCAGTTTTTGGATTCGTTGTTTGATTGACAAATAGTTGACTTTATTTTATTAGATTACTTACTGTTTTTTCTTTTCTCCACGTTGGAAAATGAGATTGGAAGAAAGGGCTCTTTTTTTGCGTCATTCAATCGATGATCTATAATGCATTATACATGAGCACATTTTCTTTTACTTTTTCTCGCATTTTGTTTATTTAAAAGTACTGCATTTCAGTTTACTCATTTACAGTGGCGTGACGATAGAGAACGGTATACTAAGAAATGCGCCCCCTATATTTTTTTCTTTTGCCCCAACCCTGCTCATTTAAAAGGTGACAGTAGAATAAGTAATTTGCGCGTTTAATAATAAGACATTTTTTTACTTTAAACATAATTATCGCACTTACTGGTGTATATTCACACATCCTCACGGCACTAAGTGATGATGAAGTCTATGTCAAAAGTAAAAGAAAGTACCAACAACAGATAGAATAGTTAGAAATTTCAAGTTTACATTCAAAAACAACCAAGAATGTCTATCTTTTTATCTATACTACCTCATTTATTCAACGTACCATACGTGACTCTAACGGATGAAGAACTTCCGGTAAATCATTCGATATTGTGTATACTATACCGATAGTAGTACAACCAAACGTACAACATAATTTTTTTATAGTTCCATAATCATCTTCATTTGCTTCATATATAAGCATCTGACGATGAAAAAATTGTCCTGATTGACAAAATGAAGCTATAGGATTGTCAAAGTTTGTGTTCTATTAATAAAAAATTTTCTTTCTAGATTTTTTCATTGATACTCTGACAAAACATGTCGCAAACAAGTTCATTTTCTTTCTTCGGTAATACTAACCAATATCGGGCTGATGGTAAGCCAAATACATCAAATAAATTTAATTTGAAAGCACTTTTGGATTTTTCAAATTTGTAAGTATTAAATAGATTTTCTTATTTCTAAACTAATCTTGTTTTATCTTATTAAGACAACCACGGGTTCAAAATCATTTGAAAAATGTCTATACTTGTTTATTGGGTGCGACTTTATGTGCTGCATTGGGTGTTTATTTATCCATGGCAGGTTGGCTCAATTATCCTCGTTTGGCAATATTTGCATCAATCATAACAAGTATTTGGCTTTTTTCACTCGATTTTAATGGTCGTACACAAATGAAATGTTTTGGATTAATGTCTGCCACATCTCTATTTACGGGTATTTATTTAAGTCCATTAATCAATTTGGCGATTCATGTCGATCCACAAATTATTGTTACAGCATTTTTATTGACAACAATTATATTTGTTTGTTTTACACTTAGTGCTTTATTTACAAAAAGTCGAACTTATTTATATCTAGGGGGTAAGAAAAATAATACTAGAATATATTCTGATATGCATATATTAAAATATTCAGGTTTACTGGGTACAGGCACATCTATTATGCTTTTACTTAGTTTGATGAATATATTTGGACGTTCTCAACTTATTTTCAATGTAAACCAGAAAGAAAAAAACAGATTTCAGTGTAATAATAAAGATTGTTTTTTTTTTTCATTTTTGATTTAGGTTAATTTATATCTTGGCTTGGCTATTGCTTGTGGATATATTTTATATGATACACAATTAATTGTTGAACGAGCCGTTAATGGAGATATGAATTATGTTAAGTAAGTAACTATCAGGATTGAAGTTTTTTTTCAATTCGATCTACAGAAAACTATTTCAGAATTTATTCGAATTACATCTAAAAAAATTCTTCAATACTTGTTTTTTTTTTATTTATTTAATCAACGATTAGCAATTTTTTGAATCCTCTCTCTTAATTTATTTATTTTTATTGAAATCATTTATAAGGTAATTCCTTTAAAATCATAGCTATAATCTTAAGTTTCGGTTGGGACGACTTCTTTTTCACGTAGTCCCGAAAAATTTCCATATCTTGATATCACATATCTCTATGTGTGAGGCATTTTAATACAATTTCACATTTTAGTAAGACTTGTAAAGATAATATTTCTCATTTTTTTTCAACTTATAAATATAAAATAACCGATAATTTTGTTATCAAAACGGCAGAGGTGTTCTGGGACCAATTGGAAATTTTTTTTTTAAACCAGATTTTCAGGAGGAAGAGAGATCAAATGGTTTTTTTTTTTTGAGAATTAGTGATTAGATGAAACGAATAAAACACCGGAATTCTGATGAGAAAAAACGAAAACTTCTCACGATTGAAAGCTAGTCATTCTTGCAAAATGGTATCGTTTATTACGAATATATAATGTCAATAATCAATTTGACATTTAGATTGTTATTAGTGACTATTTATCGTAAAAACATAAAATATACAATCTTGAACTTTAATAAAACATTAACATATATATGATTTATTAAATATTTTTTTTAGACATGCACTTCTTTTGTTCATCGATATGGTCGATTTATTCGTTCGAATTCTTATTATTTTACTTAAAAGTGTACGTCTTTTCTTTTTTTGTTTATCTTCATTTCCATTTTATTAATTAATTTTATATTTATTATAGTCACAAAACAAAGATAAGAAAAGCAACAATCGTTAAATAAAAAAATCTATCAATCCACGTAAAATATTCTCGATTTGAAATAAGAAAAAATATATTTTTTTTCTGTTTTCTTCTTTTTTCGATGTTGTAATTTGCTTTTTGTGAATTAGCTATGTCTTCGTTCACTTTATATTAATCATCTAGAAATATGCTTTAACATTCATTTTTGCTTGTAGTTACATGTACTCCTATTATTCAAAATCGAGAAATAAATCAAGAAAAATAGATACATCATCAATGTTGATCGCATATTATATCCCACGGAGATATTTAGCAATTAAAAGCTTTATGAATACGATTGACGATCGAGATAATATTTTCCGAATAAGAAAAAACAATGACTGCCATTTATGTTGCTGATTGAAACTTTTATAGTACAGAATCATGAGGAAATGTTTATTTCTTTTACAGATTCTGAATGTATGAATAAGAAAAGAACGTCAGATACATCGTTCGGTGTTTATTTATATAATTTTTTCATCCCGAGTTGATTAGAATGAATATTATTATTATCTAACATACTCAGCGACCGAACCTTTTGATTGTCACTATACTTTTTTACAATCGTATGACTCATTCGATGCATTGCATCAGCGTCTACAACACTACTAATTGTTTTTTTAACCTAATTTTCTGTTCGATAGAAAAACGAAAGTATTTAATGGTCGTCCCCTTTTTTCAATTACTTATGATTCTTCGTGAAAGTATAATCTGTCGGCTTCATATTTTTACTATAGCTAGATTATCGAAAATGGTGGAATTAATGTTTGAGAAAAAAATTTTTAGAACAAGTTTTCACAGATTTTTGATGGAACCTTTAAAAATCATCGGGTCTACTTATGACTCCGATCTTAGTTTATTCGATACGATTGAAATTTTTTTCTAGAGATATCTGCAACAAAATCTGAAAAGAATTTTTCAAAAGCTTCAAAATACCTTTGACATTTTGTCTCAGGTATCTTCAGAAAAAATTTCAGCTTGATCAGACAAATTAAAATCAAGATCGTAAGTAGGCTTGATGGTGCTTTTAAAGATCCCTTAAAAATACCTTGAAGATCTGCTTTAAAAGTTTTTTTCCTCAAACATGAGTCTCATCATTTTCAATTATCTAACTGTGATTAAAAAATTTGAGCACAACAGATTCTACTCTCTCTGAGAACCACGACCGATCCAAAAAAGGAGGACGGCTATTAAGTACTATTGTTTTTCTATTGAACATAAGGTCGTGTCAAAAGAGACAAATTGTACCGTTCGATAGCTGCTGATGAGATGCATCGAATGACCCCTAT